CGATACTAGGCGTCTCTGTTCTATTTACTGGCGGGGAAGGTGTGCGAGCAATGCGAAAGCAACGGTGTAAGGGTAGGCAGGAAAAGAGAGCAAAGAACAGGAAGCGCATCTCGTCCTTGGTGTAGAACGCCATCACGTAACGCGTAAATAGCAATGACGACAAGACGCGGTAATCGTAAATACTGCAGGGTGGGCGGTGATCATAAGAACAATGCTCGAGTACTTGTAGAAACACATTGCCGCATCGCAGCTGCTGTTGATAAGCCTCATCGTGCTGAGATATATTTGGCTGCGGAAGGAGGCTATACTGTGCTTGTGCCTGAGTACGCGTGTCCTATCTGTAGCATAAGGAAGAGCGGTGCTTGCGAGTCGCAACGAGGCTGAGGTTTGAAGGTGGAGCTTCCCCGTTGAACTCCGCTGTGGCTGATGTTTCCTGAGATGCGGGACCCCTGTCTAGCCAAGCTATCTGCATCGGGGATGAGCAATGAACACCTGGCGAGTCAGACAGAGGGCGCTTTGAGCATTGCTTCCCAAGTCGACTGGAGTCTGGAGCAAGATGTCAAGTTATCAGACTTCGCAAGGGTGAAATACACTCGCTCCGCCTGGTCTATTGTTTAATCAGCACTACGCGTCGCGCCGCCTGATGAACTCGACACGCGACCCGTTCAACCTCCGCAGCAAAACAGCATTCAAGACACCCTCCGCCTTCGCCGTCCTCCAGAACGCCGCCAACAAGAAAGCCTCGCAAGCCGTCGAATCGACCAAGCAGGCAGTCGAGGCCACGAAACAGGCGATTCAGGACTCAGACATGTCCTTCGCTATCCCGCGCAACGTACCCAATTTCGAGAGCGCGCAACGAAAGTTTGAAGATAATGTTTGGAACAAACTACCGGGGAACGAAAAGGGCTTGCCAATGTATAAGGACAAGCCTTCGGGGAAAAGCTATGGATATGGCGGTGGTGCGAGGGGAAGGAAAGGCTTCCTGCGGAGTAAGAGGGGCATGTCGCTGATAGCACTGGTAGTGCTGGGGCTGTTCTACTGGTTCGGATGGTCTAGTGGTGGCACAAACGTAGGCACAATACAAGACGAGAAGGATAGGGGCAAGAGCTTGTTGTCAAATATAGGTGGAAGTGCTACCGGAAAGAAGAGCAAAGTTGACTGGGAGAAGCGGAGACAGGCAGTCAAGGACGCGTTCTTGCTGAGTTGGAACGCATACGAGGAACATGGCTGGGGTTACGACGAGTACCACCCCGTCTCGAAGAAGGGTCGATACATGGCTGAACCCAACGGTCTGGGCTGGATCATCGTGGACGCGCTCGACACGCTCATGATCATGAACCTCACCAAAGAACTCACCCACGCACGGCAATGGATTTCGACGAGTCTCGACTACGACAAGAAGCAGGATGTCAATACCTTTGAGACAACTATACGCATGCTTGGTGGTCTGCTGTCTGCACACTACTTGCAGGAGACACTTCCAGGCCTGAAGCCTGAGAATTCGAATGAGGAGGACCTCTTCCTGGAAAAAGCCACCGACCTGGCTGATCGTCTCATGGGCGCGTACGAGTCACCTTCGGGTGTGCCCTGGGCCAGTGTGATCCTTAGAGACGCCAAAGGCGAAGCCTCGCACGCTGACGGCGGTGCGTCCTCCACAGCCGAAGCAACCACTCTCCAACTCGAGATGAAATACCTAGCATTCCTCACCGGCGAGGCACACTACTGGGACGTGGCCGAGAAAGTAATGAAAGTCGTGGACGACAACGGCGCCAAAGACGGTCTCCTACCCATCTTCATCTACGCAGACAAAGGCACCTTTCGCGGGAGCGAGATTCGATGGGGCAGTCGTGGAGACAGCTACTACGAATACCTCATCAAGCAGTACCTGCAAACCCAGAAGCAAGAGCCAGTCTACCAAGAGATGTGGAACGAGTCGCTCAACGGCGCAAAGAAGCATCTCCTCACATACACAAAGAACAGCCACTTCACCGTCCTAGCAGAGCGGCCAAGTGGAATCGAAGGCAAACTGCATCCCAAGATGGACCACCTCGTCTGTTTCCTACCTGGTACCATCGCCCTCGCTGCAACCGGCGGTATTCCCCTCGCCGAGGCACGTCAACTACCCACCTGGGGCAAAGCACAAGAAGAAGACATAACCCTCGCCCGCGAACTCACAAAAACATGCATGGGCATGTACAAAGTAACCGCCACAGGTCTCGCCCCTGAAATCGCCTACTTCCAGCTCGACGACCCGCCTAAGATGTACCGCACCGAGATCCTCGCGTCCAAATCCGAGCTCGACACCAGTGTCCCCGACGGCGAGGGCTGGAAGAGCGATTTCGACCTCAAGCCAGCTGACACGCATAACCTCCAGCGACCGGAAACAGTAGAATCGCTCTTGTACATGTGGCGCATAACCGGTGATGACATCTACCGCGAATGGGGCTGGGATATGTTTGAAGCTTTTGTCAAACATACTATCGTAGAGGACAATGGCGGGTTCTCCAGTATCGGTGATGTGACGAAGGTGCCTCCTCCGTCGCGGGACAACATGGAGAGTTTCTGGCTTGTAAGTTCTTTTTCCCCGTCGTCTTCACTTCTCTCAGGGGTATTGGACTGGTTTACTAACACATTCATGCAGGCCGAGACACTCAAATACATGTACCTCCTCTTCTCCCCCGACGACCTCCTCCCTCTCGATCAAATCGTCCTGAATACTGAGGCGCATCCGTTGCCTCGCTTCGACGCAAGCAAGAAGAGGTTTAAGACGGGTTGGGAACGTATACCGCGGGACGATAACGGTAACCTTGTGCCCAAGGGTGAAGCTAAGCCGGTCGAAACCAAGGCAGAAGAAAAGACGACTTAGACGTGTTGAATGGATTAAAGCTCTTTGTGGGATTTTGTAGAGCGCGCACGTATCGTTTTATGGGGTCTAGGATCTGGAAGCAAGCGTCTGGATACGTTTGTACATGCATGAGTGGCGCTATCACGTTGGTTAGTGGTATCTGTCGTAGACTAGACATGCACATAGGCTCGAATGCGCATATATTCCTAGCCCAACTCGCGATATAGAGATGTTAAGATGCGTGTTCCATTAATACTATCAACTCCAGTGATGATGCCAGCTATTCGTATATTTGCGTAAACATAAAACACGTAAATCGTAATTCATAACCCCATTCAGTCCGTCTCCCGAGTGAGGGGTATCCTACGCTCGCTCACGTATTTATAACCGGGGATGCGGTGTATGGAGTGCTACGTTCACATAGGAGAACGAGTCCGTGTTCTTAATCTCCATCGCATAGGGCTCGGCCAGGAAATCCCTTCGATACAAATCACAGCGGGTACTAACGCTCCTGTGACTGTTCGTCGCCTATACGTGGCGGGCTCTTGGAGTGGGCGGAGGGGTTCCTAAACGGCGAGTGGCTTCCTCTGCACAAACGTTAGCTTCTTCTCTGCAGTCGTACTCAAGCATGAGAAACTTACGAGCGTCTCCGCTTGCCTTCATCTCTCCTCTCCTCGATGACTTTGAGCATGGTTCTCCGTCCATCCTTCGCGTTGATGTGTGCATCCCGCATGCTCATGCTAACCTTCTTGCTCGCATCGGCCCGAAGCAGCCTCTTAAGCAGTAGATGCCGCATGAGCACACAAACGAAAACGCCGCAGTCGCTGCCGTTCTCTTGCTGCGGACTATCATTCATAGGGATAAACCGCAGTCGTTTGCCCAACAATTGTTCCAGCTTCATAGTCGTACTCCGTGCTTCCCGCTCATTGGACTGGGTCATGGAGTCGTAGTGGAAGGACACGCCGTCGATGATGGACACGAGGAGGAGGGACCAATGCGAGCCGCCTTCGGCTTGTGTGACGTCGGTGTTGTCATTTATCGGCAGGAAGACGTGGGTCGTGTGGCTGAAGTTGGGGAGGACTTCTTTGAGGGAGAGGGGCTCGGCGCTTTGCATGAGCATGTAGGACATGGAGGGGCGGAGGAGGACGATGGAGGCTTTGGGGAAGGCGTTGAGCTCTTCGCGCTCGAGGTATTCTTGCCAGAAGGCGATTGCCTGTTGATGCGTTAGTCATGACTGCGGTGGATTGGGAGGAAGTGGTATGCGCACATTGTCCGTAAGCCAGTCATTAGACTTGATACTGTCCAAGTCGGCTCGCGTCACTGTAGTCGTCAGTATGGTCGTTGATTAGTCAAAGGCGCATGGAAGCGCAAGTCAAGGAATAGGCGACGCGTACACACCCCTCACATCGTGATCTACTCTCAGTCAGTCTTCGCCCTCTTGCACTCTCTCGATGCAGACTCACAAGAAAGATAGGCCTCATCCGGACTAGGATCACCCAAGTGGCGCCTCGCCTTGTCGCGAATCCTCGAAAACGATCCAGGCATGTTGCACCCGGTTGCAATGTGACTCTATGGATGGATCGTGTGGCACCGGCGTGCCAGTTATTCTGTGCGAGGCGGTAACTGCCGAAGGCCTAATCAAGGGTGCGGGCCTCGTGGGTATGCGAAAGGGTAGGGATGTCGGGTGTCTGTCTCGTTGCACTGCTGGGTAGACGCGCGCTCGAATGATGCAGATGCAGGTGGGTTCTGCGGGTGAAAAGCAGGGATGACGTATGCGTATGGGGCTAGACTGCGTGGGGGTGTCGAGGAAATAGTTCTGGCCGCCTCGGCACTTATACTCCTGGGGCACCAACACCTTTAACACGAGATATCGCCGTTGCAAGCTCCGCGTTTCCGGTGTTATGGCCGTCTTCTTCGTTTCAAGCACGTGGTCTTGCTGTCGGGTGTTTGAGTTGTAACAGTCTCGTCTAAGTATAGGACAAAGCAAAAGCGGAGATGTAATGCACGTTTGTTTTGTTCAGCGTCGCACTGTTCAGAATTCCTTCATATAGATGTAAAAGGTCAACCTCGGGCGGATTGTAACCATGGTGGCAATCATTCAGAGTTTCGCGATTTTTACATGGTATACGCTTGAACCTTGGTTGACACAACCCTTCTAAGGCAGTTGTCCAACTATCTTGGCACCATTTGCCTGATCTTGCTTTCCGAATTGCTCTGGCCTCTCCACCTTGAACAGCCAGCTCTGCTTGTCCTCGATCTTTCCTTGTTGAATACCCTTCAAGGTCGAAAGAAGCTTCTTGCATGCTGGGCCTGGTTCTTGCTGTGCCTCTGCGTATGTGAACTTGTCGTCCTTGGAAGGCAGGGTAATGGATTTGATAGGGACAAGAGCCGCCGCGGTTCCAGCAGCAAGGACCTCGTCAAAGGACTTGAGTTCGTCATAGGCGATCTGAAATTGTTAGCTCACCGTACGCATTGACAGAATGCTTGTAGTACCTCTCGAGATTCAGCTTCCCAGCCAAAAGATTCGGCAATCCTGAGAACACTGTCTCCTGTGACACTCTGGATGACGTTCTTGCTATTGGATGCGACGAGTTTGACCTTGTCGCCGTCCTTCTTTACGCCAATGAAGGCAGACGTTGAAAACTCATCAACAACGCTCCTTGTCTTACTGTCCAGATGCAGGGTGATACCGTAGCCTGCCTTGTACGCCTTCTCGCTATGTCGTAATACTGGAGCGTAGTTGCCGCCAACCTTTGCTGATCCAGTACCCTCTGGCGCGGCGCGGTCGAAGTCCTCAAGAATAACCGCATCTACTGGGTTTGAGCCATGGTAGACACCAGTTGGGATGCAGTAGACGACAAAAGTGTACTCCTGGGGTGGATTCAGGCCAAGTTGTGCCGAACTACCGAAGAGTAGGGGTCGGATGTACATTGCGGCGCCTGTTTCATGGGGCGGTACGTACGCCGCGTTCATTCCCACGGCCATACTGCAGCAGGCGAGGAAATGGTCTGTCGGAACCTCCGGAATAGAAATGAAAGACGCTGAGTGCTGCATCCTCTCGGCGTTTTTGTTGGGCCTGAAAATGTTGATCGTGTTGTTTGGTGCACGGAAAGCCTTCATGCCCTCGTAGCACTGCATTCCATAATTTAGTCCCGGTGCCATTCCGTGGATACGCAGGAATGGGTCCTCGACGAAGACTGGAGGGGTCCATTTTCCGGTCTCCTTAGAGTAGTGTGATTCAACATGGCCAGCGACTTTGCAAAGTTAGGAGATGTTCAAATGCGTTTTTTTTATAGATGACTGTGTGGTGGGGCTGAGAGTACGCAGCAGAAATAAGTAGACTCTGCCTCCTCGTCCATACTTGAACGCAGCCGCGCACTGAAGTCATTCGCGACAAGGTAAGCCTTACCTTCCCGAATCTTGAAGCCCACGTTGCTCCAGTCTGCGATTGAATTAGCGCAGGTCTTTGCGGCGTGTGGAACGTCCCGGCGACCGGGTTAGCAATTGACGTACCAATGGTGTCGACTGGTGGAGGAGGAAAGTCTGACATTGTTGATTTATTTGAAGTGGTTTAGGGTGTCGTGTGCTGAGGTGCGAGTCAATATGCAGGTCAGTCAATTGGCGATTCCAAAGTTTTGAACGCTTTCGGAGGCTCAGTAAGCTCAGCCCTACTGCGATATCGGATGACGTAGCCCGGTAATATCCCTCGGCAGCCGTCGCAATATATCAAAAGCCCACCCGCCCGCAAATTGTAGATTTCCCATGGCGGAGAGCCCTGACGATGTTGTTCCAATGCGAACTAGCTTCGATCGCGCAGACGTACCTGCAGATTACCCGCGCGTGGTGGGACCACTCGGGCGTGATGCTGCGAAGCCCCAATGCTTGGCGTTATCTGAGGCATCGCGTGCGTGGCCATGGATGGCAGCCTTTCACATTCTACAGTGAACCATGGAACGCTTCCTACCGCCTTAACACATCGCTTTCTCTTCTCAGAGACCTAGTATACCTATTCTACAATGATCCGCATTACTGGCCTCCGGGCTAGATTCGTCGTCTTTGCCCTAGTCGTATTCGCCCTCTGTTCATTCATTCTAGTAGGACCCTACAAGGTGACACCAGCACACCTAGCATCGCCATCGACCGAGAAGAAACTAGGCCGTACCAGTGAAGCTGTGCTCACAGGACATGCCATCGCGCCAAAACTAGAGAATGCGACGGCGAAGTACGTGCATCACGGCCTGCGCGGGCACCACACAGATCACACGAGGCAGGCTGACAAGCAAATGCAGGGCAGAACTCGGTCGCGCCGCGTGGAAAGTCCTACACACAACGTTCGCTCGTTTCCCCGAAAGCCCTACAGACGAGGAGCAAGAGGCGCTGCGGTCATATGTACACCTGTTCCAACGCCTATACCCCTGGTATGTCTTACACTGCTCGGCGTTCAACACATAGAGGTCACGCGCTGACTGGGATTTCAGCGGAGAATGCGCAGAGCACTTCGGACAAGTACTTGCCAAGTACCCTCCCCAGGTCTCGTCACGGACAGCGGCTGCCATGTGGGGTTGCTACGTACATAACATTGTCAACAAGCGGCTGGGGAAGCCGGAGTTCAACTGCGAAGACATAGGCGACGCGTATGATTGCGGTGTAAGTAGTGTCCCTGTACGAACCACATGTGAGACATGTACTGACCGCGCACACCAACATCCAGTGTGGAGACGACGATCCGACATCGAACAAAGACACAGCTGCATAAGACCCCGGATGAAAAAGCGCTAGAGTGGCAGAGAGATCAGCAGGCAAGCGCATCGCCTTGAAGGATACACTTGACAATGTATCCTTTACGACCGCAAAAGCCCCATGTTGAAACATGCAGGACGTGTTTGCATGCAGGTTGGGGTTGGATGGCGCAGCGGACTTGATGCGCAATGCCCGAGACATTGCGCTGCGCAGACGGGTCGCGTCTTGGTCACGATAGCATTATTTGCGGGTACCTGCTACGCCGCAAATGGCTGCTCGCGACCTGGGAGGGAGCCAATAAGCCAATAGTCAAGACGATAGCTGAGAGATATCGACGGAGCAGCTCCGGCCTTCCCGGCAGATCGCAGAGTTCGTCGGCGGGGTTTCACACGGCAGTGTCTCGCAGTGGCTTTGTGGTGGTGGGATGTAAACCGGACTCGAAATTGCCCTAGCAATGCCCTAGCGAATGAATGTTCAAGAGATCAGCCTTCGGACAGGAACAGCCCTGTCGCGAGGAGAGCCACCAAGATAGCCTTATCAAGCATGATAGAAGGATGGTAGAACGAAGCATCGCACTCTACCTGCGACACTGTGCCCCTCTGGACCGTGTGTGATACGAGTGCGTCATGGCACTTTGATGCTCCAGGTCGGCGAGCCATTGGGAGAGGGCCCTGGGCAGCCCACCAAGCCCACCAGTTCGGCGGGCGCGTGGCTCAAGTGCAGCGATTCGCAGGCGCTAACGGGCTGCAGCTGCGATGCGCGGTCAGTTGATGTATTTCGGGAGAGTCGCGAGGCGCGCACTGTCACAGGGGCCTGTTCCCAAAGCAGCTTAGCGCTATACCGACTTTTGTTGTATCCCAAACAACTGAAACCTTCCCTGGGCCAGCGAGGGGTGATAACGACGCGGCGCCCCCTCCCCACACCGACTCTTCCATCCTCTCCTCCATTGACCGTCTGCCAGCTGTTCACCGCTCCTTGCCCATCGAAACCGCATTCCCACCATGGTGTCGTTCTCCTGCGAGGTACTTGAGCCCCATGTCCCATGTTTACCTCTCCCCCACCATGCGCCCCTGCCGTAGCCATGCATCGTATGCTGACTGTGACGGCTTAGAACTGTGGAGACGTCCTCACAAAGAAGAAGCTTGACGGCCACCGCAACCAATGTTATGGCGCGTCCTTTACCTGCCTCGACTGCATGGTGCACTTCCCGGGAACTTCCTACAAGTCCCACACGGTACGCATATGCTTCTCCTGCCCTATATGACGATCTGCTGGCCTCGAAACAACGCCTATCGATTGCTGCACGACTTGCGCCAGCACTGCGCATTGCGCCGTGTTCGACTTTTCATTGTTCAAAGTGGCTGACGCACGCAAAACAGGCCTGCATAACCGAAGACCAGAAGTACCAGGGCAAACTCTACAAAGAGAAGAAGAAGGGTCCGCAGCAGAAGCGGGACAGCGCCTACCACGACAACTCGCAAGCACTCACGCCCCACAACGCATATGTCGAAGACGCGCGCGACGATGGCAACGCCGTCGCAGTCGTGGATGCCCCGCCTCGCGCACCCACTCCTCCACCAGCGGCGCATTCGCTAGGCTATCATGAGCAGGCCGCGATTGAAGCGCCCAATGTCTTCGATTTCCTGGACCCCTCCTCGACGCCCAATGTTCCGCGAACGACCACGCACATCGATGAAGCGCGTATGCTTGAAGACAGTCAGCCGCCCGCATACGACGAGCAGTACATGCCCGCAATCGCAGACGTTATGAAGTTCCAGGTAGCCGACGACGACGAGTCCTTCGCACAGAACGGATTCTCGTACGGGACTGAGCAAGTTCGCCCTTCCCGCGAGCGTTACGACTCGTACGCCACGCCAGCTCCCAAGTCGAAGCACAACAGGACAAAGTCGGGCGATACCGATGTGGAGACAACGTCGAAGAAGACCGATCGCAAGCGCAAGCGCAATTCACCCAGCGAACTTGACATGTCGGCGATCCGCGCCCAAGAGGAAAGGGATACTACAATGGCCGATGCCCCCGCGATGCTGCACTCTGGTCTTACTGGAGGACTGAACAAACTCCTTGCCCGTCCTGAGTTCCCACCTTCGCCCGATGACTCAGGTGACTACGTCAACTCGCCTTTGAGCCCGATGAAACGCGTCAAGCAGGGCAACTCCAAGGCTCTTATGCGCGCGCAACGAGAATACGAGGCAGAACAAGCAAAGCAGCGCAAGGCTGATATCAAGGCACGTGAGCAAGCAGAGAAGAAGGAAAAGGAGAAGGAGAAGGACAGAGGCCGCGATCGTGACCGGAAGGAGAATAAGGAACGTAAGGAGCGCAAGGCCAACACTGCTCTTGTGAAGATCAGGCCTAAGAAGAAGCGGGAGGATTCTACCACAGAGGTTCGTCGCATCCGCCGCCGCCAATACTCGTCCTCCGTGTCGCCAGCACCGCGAGAGCGCAAGCCCATGAAGGCCATTGAGTACCACCGTTCGGAAACAAACTCCCCGGAGCCAGATGGCCAAGGCCAGCTTATTGTGCGCCCCAGTGGAGACGTTGCACATGCCTCGGCAGACTTCGATGCGCGCGCGGGGCTGTTCATGTCCTTCATTACGAAAGGGCCAGACTCTGAGCGCGGCATGAGTGTCAACAAGGCTCTGAAACGATACCACCGCGAGCGCTCCGAGCAGCGCGATCGTGCGCCCTCCAAGGCGGAAGAGGAGAAAGAACTCTGGAAGGATCTGCGCCTCAGAAGGAACGACAGAGGCGAGATCGTCTTGTTCTTCGCTCCTGCCGAGGCTTCCTGACTAGACGGGGATCCGGATCTGGACATCATCATCCGCATGCGCGCGTGGTCTTGTTCTGATCCGACACCTAGTCAGGGATCCGACGACATGATCGATGTCTGACGAAAATTGGGGGGAAAAGAGCCTCGTCGAGGTTCGGAGTAGCCTGGCGATCGGCTTTGTACGATACCAGTCTGCTTCACATATTTCTTCCTTTTAGATGATACCCGACGTCAAGTCAACGGTTGTTTCGGGTGGGCTCGGTATACATGTACTCGTACATGTTTTGTTCTGGATTTGGTTCCTCCTGTTGTACTTCTCTACATTCGTATGTCTTACTGTCTGCATATACGTACTCTTACGGCCATTGTCTGTTCGCGTTGCTTGCTTTGGTATCTTTTGGCCAAACCACCTGCCCTAATATTCCTTGGGCTGGACCCACTCCGTCCTCTCGGCGTTGGGTCCTTCAGTATGAATTATGTAAACATTACTATACTTCTGCGTCCCATGTTCATTTCTTGGTGACAAGCTCTCGCAGTGACTGGCTCTGGTCGGATTGCGTTAGACACTTGGAGGGTTGAGTTATTTGCGCAATCGACGGTCTTGAGGATAGTCTACGTCAGCGACGTGCTCGAGCAGAAGGGGAAGTGATTGCGCAGAGCCGCAAATACGAGAGAAGAGTGAGGCTCGCTAGCTACACATCTGTATGAGTGGAGTGCATGCATACAAGTACAAACCACTGCAGCATCTAGCGCAGGGACAGCGTAAGGCGCAGTTCCTCTAACGGCTCGGTGATGGTCGCATGCCGCGAGAGACCCGCATACAAGGCAACACGCCAGGCTGCTTCTCGCTTGGCAATACATAGTACGCCGATTCAAGATGTCGTTTACTTAGAAGGGCTAGATAATCGCTTGACCCTGGCATGTCTGTTCACGACAGTCTGGGGAGGGGGCGTTACAGAACGCTACCTCTGAACCGAGGTGTTCCCATCCCGCGCGGCAATCTTGCCGTCGCGCGAGAGTTGCAACTGACGTCTCCCCAAAAGGGTCAAGGTGTTGCTTCAGCTCGGCAAACGTAGGTTTTACCCTCAGCCTGCCCAGGCACCTGCACACCATCTACAGGCAATCGTCCTTCTGAACCCCACAGCACTGTTCGACAGATATAGCACTTACCACCTCGTGGAAATGTCGAAGAGAAAGAATGTGTAACAACGCCCTGGTACACAGAGACGCATACGCACGGCCGGAGTTTATCAAACTAGTCCCATCGTCCACAGCCACGATGGGGCGGAGTTTTTCCAGAAGCCTGCCTCTTTAGACATGGTCCACCAAATTCGCGCAAATGGGTAAAGCCGACATGCTGGCACTACGTCGCAGGGTGCTCACGTTGCAAGCTCTGATTCGAGCTCCATTCCATAGTATACAGCGGGGAGACGTAGCCGGCAAAGCACGGTGACAGGGCTATCACAGATCGAGTTGACCGGCCACCATGCTGCAGGCCCGCGCATGGTCAGATGGCACTGCCGACCAGCCCTAAGACATCATACCATCAACGCAAAGTTTCCAGCACCAACCGCCTGCGGCCGCTCACAGACAAGTTCTAGTCATTGACTAATAAGCAGCAACAACGTGATAAGCCCGTTGACGACTACTCGTCAATTGCCCTGGTGGCCTTTGATGCAAGGCAGTCAAGTCCGCGCAGTCAGCCGCAGCACCCCAACGTTGCCCCAGCTTGCGCGTGGAATATAACTTTGGCCACCTTTCAGCCTGGAGATGTTCATTGATGTTACGCAGACACCACCCTACGACGCGAAATTCTGACATTCAGTCTTGTCCGCGCTTCCATCTCTCTTCGCTAACCGCATGAGACCCTCAGCGAAGGGGTGATCCTTACGGTCTTCCTCTATCCTCGCTTGCACCTTCGCATCAGCCTAACGCGCGATACCGCCGACCAAAAGCATGTCTCATATCCCGTACCTGGGTTCACCGAACGAAAGCTGGCAGGATCTTGTTGCCTGGGACGACGAATTGTACGACCCTTTCTTCCAAGGAGAGACCAACTACACGGGCACTCAAGAGCGCAACTATGTTGCAGGTCACCAACTATCGGAAAGCTATACCTCTGAGCCTGCGTACCTGGTTTCAGCACCGCCCTCAATCGCCGACGAACCGCCTTCGCTCGAGTATACTGTTTCGGCCCCACCATCAATTCTAGATGGGCAGTCCTCGTTTGAACAAGTGCATGGCACCTCTCTGTCCTTTGACACGATATCCACTTCTCCGCTCGTCGTACAAGCGGATAGCCAGTACTTCGGATCGTTTGGTGCCTGCGACAACAGTCTCCTGTCACCGCTAGGAACCATAAGCGATTCACCCATTCTAGACACACGATATGAGCGTATCCCAGAATCCTTCACTTCGTCGGCAGGGTCTTTTGAGAGTACGGCTGAAACAGTGTTCAATCCTCATGTTGCGGACTCATCCCATTCCTTCAGTGGTCTGGATATGAGACACTCCCGGCTGTTTTCGAACGTTGGTACATGGGCAGAGCAGCCACGGATCATCGAACCTATTGCAGAAGACGACGGAGACAGATCTAAAGTCGAACCTATCGCAATTCCCCAATCTTTCCCACAGAGCTATAGTTCGATGCTGCCATCCTATCGGCGATCAGATGGCGAGCATGATCTACACAGTCGTAGCAGAGCCATCGCCATCCCGGATACTACGCGTGGACAAAGCGTCAACAATCGGGCTACAGCGTCTGCATCTGCACGAAGAGCTCCTTCCATGCTCTCGGTATCACCAGGCACTTCACGCTACCCTCGCGGTGTTGCGCTGTCCAGAAGCGCCTCGCTCTCTCGCCGCAAAGCCTCTACTCCATCTCCTACGTCCGACGCTTACGGGTGGGTATCCTACCAACCCAATCCATTGACCAATCGTCTAGCTCCCACTAGCACTGAGGGTATGTCAGGAAGAGCGCTAAAAGGACGAAAGAGAGCTCTCACTGCTGAGCAACGCCAGCACGCAGCGTTAATGCGCATTATTGGCGCTTGCTCCAATTGTCAACGGCGGAAAGAAAAGTGCGACCCTGGTACTCCGTGCAGAGCCTGTCTTGATCACTACAAAGGTGATCTTGTCAACCACCCGTGTAGGGATCATACGCTTATTGATCTGTCTGCGGCATTCCTCTCTGACCGTCTCGGGTGGCATCCAACCGCACGACCCTTGGAGTCGTTCGTTCCGGCAGGCCAATTCCAAATCTCAAAAGATATCACCTACACCATTCCGTTGAACTTCGGGTTTGGTCCATCATTCCCGGTTTCAGTACACCCTGTGCAGCTCAACGACGACGCTCCTCTGGTTCACGAACATATCATCTACTCATGGCCGCCGCAGCCTTATACCGGGTCACCACACGAGCATGCCGTCCTACCGGGTGTTTTAACAACTGATGCGCAATTCCAACTAACGCAAACCCTCGACTCCCACTTGTCGCTACTAGTAGCTCACCACTTCCGCGCTTTCCCACTATACTGTTCGCCGCTCCGAATCCTACGCGACATCTACGTCTTCTCCCGATCCCTCTCGACAAAATCTCCTCACTATCGCATACTTCACCAGGCGCTCAAGCTTCTCGTACTTGTCCACATTGGCGGCGATATAACACTGCCATCACGCTTCGAGAGCCCCATGTTGGAGCAAGTCATTCGCAGTACGATGAACATACCCGAAGACCTGACTCCCACGCCGTGCTTCATCCGCTCGCAGTTCGGCGCGATCATGCCTGCTCTCACTCTGAGCTTGATGAAGGATGTACTCACATCACTGGAGCAACTTCTCTTGAACAAGAACTGTGATGAATGGCCTATCGCCCTAGCTGTTCTCATTACTGTCTTGATGACGGTAGAATCTATCCACTACCACGCCGCGAAGTTGCCGTACCACACCCGCTACGACGCCTCTCGCTCATCTACTACGGAAGACAATGTAGAGGTGGATGATCATGGTGTCAAAGAGTTACTTGAGTTTTACGCCGCTTGTTTCTCTGGTTGCCACGCTAGACTCAGGCCGGACTGGGAGGGCGAGTCAATGCAGTCTCACCAGACGGGCACACCAGAAGACGTGTTTATCCAAAGCTTGCGCGAGGCTATCAAGAGAGACGATACATCTAGCTATCTGATCAAGAAAGCTAAAGAGAAGAGACAACGTGCCGACATGGGGTACTTTTTCGATCGGCTTGTCGCGCGCCTCTTCACTCTGCGGCATTAGTACCCAGAGTTGCATTTCCTATTTTCTTCTTCATTCCCTAGTATTCGGGTTATCTCTTCCCCGAGCACATGGCCAGGTGGCTCTCGAATTATGCTGGGCGTTGAAAAGGCTGCGATACCCTTCTTTGTAGACGACTGTACGCTGTCTTTGTTTATGCATTGGCGTTTCTTCTTTCTTCATTTACGACTAATGCGCTCACGACTGTATCTTGATGATGAAACGACCTCTTGACGACCTCTGTTGGCGTTCTCATGATTTGCCATAGTTCTTAGGGTATTCCGAAGGAAGAGACCAAATTTAGATAATTCAAGATATAGAATAGAACTTCCTCGTGCTTCGTGCATCATCCGTATTATCATTCGAAAACGATCATCTCGTTTTAATAATTACGCTTTCGCGCCATACATCATGCCCGATACCGAGACAACAGCCCACTTGACACCCATCCACAACATGCCACACGTCAACCCCAACACTGCAAGCATAACCACAATCATGCGCCCCCGCATCTCAAGCGCGTCGCCAATCTCCAACTTGGCCATTTTTCTAATCTTCCTATTCAGATGCCATGACTTTTTCTTTTTCCTCTGCTTGGGCTTCTCCTCGCCTTGCTCGTCTGGCCGCGGCCCTATCGCGTCATGAGGCTCTACGTGTCCAATGGTTCCTCTTCGGCCCCATGTTGAATCGTCGGGGTCTTGGTAGGGTTCTGGATCGAGCCAGCTAGACGGGGCGAGGTAGGTGAGGAGAGAGAAGCCGGGAGAGTGGGCTTCGGTGCGGCGGGCGCGGTTGCGGTAGTTGACGAGGAAGAGGGAGAGGAGGAAGGATGTGAATAATACAGGCGTCAAGATAATCTTTGAGGTTTGTTAGGAATGAAAGAGTAGGTTCGTCGTTGGAATTGGCTTACTCTTGTCAAAAGCGATTCTTGGTCGTCGTTCAGCTCGTTTGCTGGGGAAGATGGCAGCGAGGGTATTGGTGTGGTTGCGAGTTCCTCGAATGGGTCTGATTTCTTCTTCTTGTGTCTCCGTCGTGTAGATGGGGGTGAGGGAGGTGGGCTCGGTGGAAGATGCTGGTTATGACGGAAGTCGTGTGCTGCAGACATGTTGTTCAGCAGAACGCGTGCTGCAGCCAATTGATTGTGGAGTGAGGAATGTTCATCCAGTGTTCTCAATCAAGGTACCATACTGAGCATCTGTGTAACAGGGCCTGTAGATCTTTTTGGTTAGAGCGTTGGGTTTGGAAAGATGGGCAGCTGGCAGTAAGACGGTGATCTTGCTGGGTATGATGCGGCAGGCTACGGATGACGTGTGGTGCCCTACCGTTCATAGGGCTTGCTAGCCTGCGCCCGACCGCGTTCCACGCAAGCGTTCGAAAACGATGTCATAATGGGTCCAGACTTTTCCGTCGACAGCGTACCCATCTCCTCCCGAAGATAGGTTTACTATGTCGTGAGCAAGGGTCGCGGGGACTCCCGTGGGGTAATATACGCGTATTGCGACGCATGCATTATCGAGGTCGCGACTACAGCCAAGTCGCATCATGCGATATCACCCGCAAACTCCACGTTTCGTGATCGACTCAAGCATTAGCATAGCCCCGGGCTAACCGCTCTTCGTACACCTGGAGATTATTCGCATCGTTCTTCGCATACTTCGCCAAATGGGGAACGGGGTCGAGGATCTCCGACTCGACCGAACCCCCGAGAGCCCGCAAACGCGAGATAACATTGTTGCCTGGAAATCCTGGCCTACTATAAGTTTCCGTGGTCAGCAGTAGTCCTTGTACGGCCGTTAAGCGGGCATTATTCAGCTTCTTTCGCTGACCTAATACGCGGACCTAACGGACGAAAGACCGTCCGAACCTCCTCGATTTGCTTTGAAACCCCATCACTGCCAGCAGCTTACGTCTGACTTCTTGCTACCACTGAAGCCTCTTTGTTTCTCATCAACTGGGTCCGTCTGTTCTTGCCAGAACAAGTTGCGGACGCGATAATATATCCATCAACTTCCGCGATCCGGAGTGCGCCGTGCAGAGCCGAGTCCGGACGAATTCGTCGCAAGAGCTAGGTTCGTGCGATCGGGGTGGTTGGAACACAACGAATCGAGATGCCCAAGGAGGAGACGTTACCGACACGCAAAAAGATGCGTAAGGGTACGCATAGCTGCTTCGAATGTATGTGAATCCAGTTGTTGCCTTAGTTGAATAATCACGCTACACCACACTGCTACGCGTCACTATTAATCTTTTCTTTTGCGTGCATCACCACGCCAACATTCTGCTCTACTCTATCTTTCATCGTCTTCATACTGTGGGCCTTTCTGATGGAGTTTAGGTCGTCGCCGCAAGATCCGATGCATCTTCCAGCCCGACAATCCGGATGTCTGCTCAGAATGCTTCGCGCGCGGCAGCAGGTGCATCGACCAAGAACATGCCAACCCGGAAGTCATTGTCGATCATAGGAAGAACCTCCGTGAGCGAGTATCACGACTAGAGGCCTTGGTCGACACGTTGCTAGAAGACAAGACTGTCAAGTCAGAAAGCCGGAGTCAGAGCCAGAGCTTAGCCGACACCTCATCACCAAAAGCACCTACTACTTACCACAAGGACACCTTCCCACCGACTCCTCTTTCCTCAGGAGCCTCGTCCAACATTTTCCAATTGCCGAACAACCAGCGTGCTGCTTCAGACCGAGGTCATCATATACCTATCCTCTCTGTGTTCGAAGATGCAGTATGTATTTCAACACTCTAAGCTGTATCTGATACTTACCATCTACAGCTCAACGATGCCGAAGCGCAAGCGAAGGCCCGCAATTGTCCTTTGGAGCAATCAACACCAAAGCCCGGAGGAGCGGCTGACGATCGATATACAATAGAAAACAGACACGACGATGACATAGCTGCTGGAGCCACCATCGCGCACTCCGCAAAACGAGAGAAATGCAAGCAAGCATTGATTGCGATGCTACCGCCTTACGATCAACTCACCAAACTTCTCAACTCGAACAGTGACTGGTGGCAGACATGGCGGAGAAAATGCAGTGGCACCTCCGGTCCTGAGCAAACACTGCCTCAATTCGCTGCGCAAGCCCTGACGACTGGAAACATTGGCGCGATTGCTACTGTTGTCTTGTCAGTCGGAATCTGCTCATCGGAGGATGACGACGATGTTGAGCGCTACATCGAGGCTGTGGACCGATGGTTCCTGTCCGATGATGAGTATGCAGCAAGCTTGGAGGGCCTGGAGTGTCTGATCCTGAAGTCCAAGTGGTACGCGGATGTAGGTCAACCACGACGAGCTTGGATCGCATATCGAAAGGGCTTGATGTATGCCCAGCTCATGGTAAGTTCATGCTGTCACAGACCGCCGGAATATGACTAACTCATGAAAGGGACTGCACCGTAAGCGCACAGCCTCAGCACCACACGAAAGCATTTGGTGGGCTTTGTACCACGGCGACCGGTTCCTATCTCTCTTGTTGGGTCTTCCATACGGTGTCACTGACGCGCATTGTGACCTGACGATGCCTGATGTTGGCGACGGCACATACGTCCATCCCTTGGTCGGTATCACGAAGCTCTCACAGCTTGCAGGGAGGGTCATCGATCGAAACCAGGGAGTCGCAGAACAGTCTTTCGCCTGGGCACTGCAGCTCGACCAAGAACTGGAAGACCTGTGGAAGAAGTTCGATCCGGCATGGCTAAACTACACAGAGTTACTTGCCGACGCGGAGACCAATGCGGCAGAACTGCGAGAGCGAATCATGGGTCAGATTATCTTCCATCAGATCCGTGTGTACCTGCATTTGCCATTCATGCTCAAAGCAGCCTCGAACTCACGCTTCTCGTACTCGAAAACCGCATGCCTGAACGGCTCACGAGAAGTACTACGGCTGTACCAGTCTCTGCGAATGGGACACATCCAGCCGCTTTACGAGTGCAAGGCTATCGACTTCATCGGTTTCACAGCTGCAGTTCTCATCCAAATCGGCCTACTCAACTTTGGCATGGTCTCGCAATCCTCAGGCAGTGGACCTACCCCGAAAGAGATTGAAGAAGACGTGCGCCTCATCGAAGTAAGCATCGACATCTTCCGCCGCGCATCAAGCGAAAAGGGAGGCAAAGTCGCCGCTCAGTCCGCCGAGGTGCTCGAAAAGATGATGGGCAAGTTCAAGGGCACAAGCAACGAGCTAGACGAGACCTGCACCGGAGATGCCAACTTCGTTATCCCGTACTTTGGTACCATCTCCATCAAGAGAGGGGGCCAACTCGTCAAGAAAGGCCCAGCCCCTCCGGGTCGTTCACCCAGCATGGGGAGCTCAAGGTCCCCAGGGACCTCAGCACAACTATACACACCCACGTCGGAGAAGCCGTCGCGGACTTCTTCGGACGTCTTTTCGCAGCCCACACAATCGCTCAATGTCACGCCCAAGACGTCCGTCTCCGCAGGTACCGCTACCTCGGCCTTCAACTTCACCGACCCCTCGCCCTTTGTGTCGTACGACGGCTTCTACAACTGGAACAACCTCAACGCAGATGACGCATCGGCGACCGGCGCTGCTGCAGGAGGCACGTTCAACTCGCAGATCAACGACGACAGTATGAACAACTTCCCACTGCCGACGAACAACTTCTCGTGGCAACATATGCCCATGGATATCGATCAAGATTGGTCTTGGTTCTTGAACGATGCGCAGACGACTCAGGGTATGGGTAACGGTGTGCCACCAGCGCCCACTGTACCACTTGATTTCAACGCACAGGGCTTCCCTGGCTTTGGCTGAGGGACGAAGTGTTGCATAGGCGTTTATGGTGGGTTCACATTCACTACGAGATACGTAGCCGTGTACGAGAAAAGTATGGGGCCATGTACGATAACAAGTATTTGTGTAGATGGGTTCAGAGTTTCTTTTTGATATCCGAGCTGCTAGATGCTACTCCACTCTCGCTGGCAATGTGCGAGGCAATTGATTTTTCTATTCAAGAACATGACCCGAGACTTTGAATGTGTGCCTACAAAGTCCAGATAACAACCCTTCCATCCACACCCGTAGAACTGATCTTGGTGATACCGCTTCCGCTCTCTTCAAAGCTTCGGATAGTGTTGATGGTGTTCTGGTGCACAGTCTTGAGCTTGGTGTCATCCGTGCCCGACTTGCCCTTGAGATCCATCTGCCTGAACATGTTCAACGCGCTCTCCTCACGCTGGTCCGATAGACCGGGTCGGCTCTTAGCCTCCAGACTTCCAGTAAGCTGCCAGCCAGACTCGTCACCCTTGAGACGGTAAGCCTCACAGTTGTATCCGGCAGCGATGATCTCATCCTCAGAGCTCCACAAGAGCGACATGAAAGGCAAGACTTGAGTGCTGACACTGAGGATGGCGCGGGGAGCTTGTTCGGGACCGCTGGGGTATACGACGGTGAGGGTGCTGTCGTGGGATGCGAATGCGAGGGCGTTGCCCGAGGGAGAGAAGGCGACGCTGTGGACCCAACCTGCGGTGTTGTTCAGATATTCGCCGCAGATAGTGTTAAACGGGAGACGCTCTCCCCATGCCGAGGGCTCCGGACGCGCGTCGACGTTCTTGATGAAGGAAGAGAGCACGCGAGCGTGTCCGTCGGTAGATCCTGCGGCGAGCAGGACCGAGTTGGGGTGCCAGGAGACACAGGTGATGGTGGAGCGAATGGGCTTCTTGATGTGCTTGGAGACCCACCAGTTGTCCTCCTCTTCAAAGTAGCAGACGGGGATCAAACGAGCACCAGAGCCCACAGCGAACTTGGTCTCGGAGGGTGCCCAGCGGACACAGGTAGCAGCGCGGTTGATGCGGAGGAGCACCAGTGTGGGCTTCCATCCCTGCGGCGAAGGCTCCCAAACGTAGGCATTGCGATCTATCCGTGCATTAGCTGCCTGCTCCAGCCCACCAGATAGCCCCGAGCTTACCCTGCGAGCAAGTCACAATCTTGCCAGAGTTGGGTGCAATGTCTACACCGGTAACTGTCTTGTCGTGACCCGTGAGCTCGTCCTTGAGCTTGTATCCGCTGCCCGTCTTCTGGAAGAGGTCGACGTTGTTCTCTCGGGTTACAGCGAGCGTCTGTCGGTCGGCGGAGAAGGAATGGTCCGCAATGGGATGGTGGAAGAGGTGGTGAGCTTCAGGACCAGACATGATGGATATGAGGGTAGGCGGGCAATAGGAGACTCTCTACTACTGCCAATTGGTGTTTTGGGTTGCAAGCTGTGGAGCTTTGGGAGACTTGGTGACGTGGGGCTGCTGGCTGGCTGGCTGCGATGCTGCGGGTGTTAGCGTCGTCTTGGCTTTCCCGAAAATCACGGCGACTGCAGCTTCGACATCAACGCGAATTGGGGGGTTTTGCTACGCGACGGGCAGTTCTTGACACAGTATGATATGTGCCACTTTGGGATATATGTACAGATGCTAATCATACCGCAGCAGCCGCCATCATGATCCTCAGGCGCCCGCTTCTCAATGCGACATCCGCAGTATCAATACCGAAGACATGCGTACGAAACCTCCAGCACTCGATCCCCATGCGCCCGGTTCCTAAGCCCATACCATTCATTCCCGATCACACCGCCTTCCTCAGCGCAATTGGCCGCGGCCTCTCCGCACACGCAACCAAGATACCCTCCTGGGAAGCCCTCTTCACACTCACATCGCCGCAACTGAAGGAACTCGGCGTTGAGCCAGCACGCTCGAGACGCTATCTATTACAATGGCGGGAGAAGTATAGAAACGGCGAGTATGGTATTGGAGGAGATTGCAAGCACGTTCAAGACGGCGTGGCGGAATTGAAGGTCGTCGAAGCACCAGTACCGCCAAATCCCGAACTCGGCAACACCATAAGTCCCCGATCCGCAGCTGCCACGGCAACACATGATCCGGGTACGAGGAAGCTCGTTGTTAATGTGCCGGTCGGTGCCGAGGCACCAGTCGAGCCCGTCGAGACATTACCCAAGGTGCAAGGCGTTATCGTAAAGGGTGCGAAGACGATCAAGGGCAGCTTTGTGGAACCAGTCAAGGGAAGCGGAGGTCTACGAGCACGTATACGGCTGCAAGAGGGTATCTGGGAAGTAAGGAGAGGGCACAAGGTCGATGGTGGCGAGAGGAGAAAGGCAGAGGTGCGGGCGAAGCGCAGGGCGGCCGAGAACAAGGAGAAGGCGAGGTAGATCTAAGTGTTAGGACATGAAGTAGCAGATACCGATTCTTGTACAATGAATGTTATTATACGTAAGTCTATGTGTACGACGTCAGAAGACCAACCATTGGCAGGATGGATGACCCGGGGTAGGGGCTTCAGCCGTAGTGGAACTATCTGACAATTCGCCCCAATCTCAAGAGGTAGAGAAGCTGGCCTTGGAGCAGCCCAGAGTGTCAAAGCCGACACATACAGATTCCACTGTGCTCGATAGCACGAACGACTGCTACCCTAGATTGCTCAGGTTTTAGGGCTTCCCCTCTGCTCCAATCCTCTCAGATCCGAAGGTGATCAAGTGCCTGCTTCTCTCTCAAGGATCGTTGTATGGGTTGCTATAGGCGATGTGATTATGACACAGGGAAGAGAAGCATGGGAAAGCTTTCTTGGCACTCTTTTGACGCCTTGAAGAGTTCGTTTACAAAGAATGTGAAAGCGCATACTGTTGCGCATGCTGAACCGGTAAACCCTAAGACTTTTGAAGTTCTCTAGCCTCCATTAGCAGCTCACCTTGATACAACTAACTTAAGCCGTAACTGGGAAAAGGCCAGGTGCTGGACAATTCAAAGATAAGTCGGGAGAGAGATGTAAGGTAGCATCGGGATGGCGCAATACGACAGGGTCCATGAACAAAAGTCTGTTCCCAAGTTAGCAAACCAGACCTCAAAGTGTACGTTAAGACTGAATAAGTCGGTAACATCTCAGACAGTAAGCTTTCGCACACTGAGACCACGCATTCGGGTTCTCTGCTGCGAAGTATCTATAGAGGCGCATTCGTGGGAGATTAAGCCATGAAGCACGTCGTGTCATCCTGGATGATAAGAAGGAAGGAAGGGTCTTCAAGGGCACGCGTACCATATTTCTATTGAGAGTGACATTATACTGCCTTGTCATTCTCTCCTGCGTCCAAGTGAGGTGACATGCATGCGCATTCCCCAGTACCCGGTATGCGAGATGCAGGCTTGTACTAGTCGCAGGTGTGGACGCAGCTGCACGATGGTCGAATGACCAAGCGAGTGCCGCACATAATCAATGTAGTGGTAATCAGGGGTTTTCGAAGACGCGAGAAAATTTCGTAGGTTGAAGTTGAGTGTTTGTGCTGTGGTTGCCTGCCTTGATCTATGACAGCAAGTACCAAGGTAGGTATGACGCTAGTCCTCATCACTAGCGCCACTTCGTTCCTGCGTCTTGCTCTTACCTCACCTGCAACACTCGAATAGAGGAGGCAGGGCCTACGCTGACTTTGTATCAAGAGAGTTTCGCTATATCTGTCTTCTCTCATTTCGCAGGAGAATGGCTAGTGGACAATTTTCAACAATACCACCTCATGCTCTGGGAACCACGAGGCACCTAGCGAGGATGTTTCTTCCAACTATTATTAAACCAATACATGTCGTATCACCCATAGCTGCTTTAGGAACCCATATATTATGTCCAAATTATATTTCTCATCTAACATGTCATCCCATTGCTCGCCTATAGATCACGCACCGGGACATCCACAAGTCCATGCCAAAGCCAGCTCTCAGCAACACAAAACACACAACGCACAACATTCCATGGCCGGCCAGCGGCCACAAAAACGCCTCGAGCAGATAGCCTCTCTTCGGAGATTGCAACATAGCACTATGCAGATACGCCCCTCCCGCACCCGTTATGTACGAGAGCCGAGAAGCCCTTAGTTCCCGGCGTCCCCTTTCCCATGCCCATCAGCTACGCCACGATAACGCCTCCCGCCCATTATCGTCACCGTTACCGTTACCACTAACACAAACTTTCCCCCGCCACTAGGTTCGACATGTGAAAGGAGGGGTCACTCCAGTAAAACACGATTCAACCAGTCTCGCACATGCAACAATAAAAGACCGAGACCATGTTTGTTGTGCGATTATAGATTCTAAGCTCAGCTACTCACCTACCCGGTTTTCGCTTCCTCCCATTTGTCTAAGAGTAATTGCGTGTGTTATATACAAAGATAGATAAGGGAAGACAATTGATTGTATGGCGCAAAAAACGAGCCTTTCCATGGGTTGAACGAGACAAAAAGTGACAAACTCCGTGTATGTAAAGAACGCAATGGAAAGATCGAAAACGCCGGTTGTGTATGCAAAGAGGCTAGGAAATTAACAGGTAAATGGTGTATGTTCAGCTGCAATTCGCGCTGCATGAGTCTTCGTATATCATCGATCTTTTTCTTCTGGTGTCCCTTTGTTTCTTATTCTCTCTTTCTCTTCCATGGGTGATTATTGTAATGGGTCGATTGTTTCTGTCTCAACTGTACAATACGGTATTAATACTTTCTGTTGACTGCCGCTGCTATCAACCACCACCAAGACTATGTACGTTATTAGTCTACGAGCTCTTGCCCGCTTCAAACACCTTGTTCATGAACTCGTCCACATCGAGTTCAATCTTCTTCTCGCGAAGTGTCTTTGCAACCTGCGCTGCGTCGCCCTCCATGCAGCTGCCCTCCAGTATACTGAGTATAGCGACGGCAGCGCGTGGGACGTTCTTGTCGCCCTCGATGGTGTAAATGTCCATGATGCGCGCGGCGTGCTCAACGCCTAGACGACCGCAGAACAGTGAGCCGAGGGTGTGGAAGAGGTAGTCTCTGGGTTCAACTCGTAGCGTCTCTAGCCGTTGAGCCAGACTAGACGCTTTCTTCGACAGAACGTGCAGTGTTGTGGAGTAGGCGGCGTGTATGGCGTTTTGGTCGTGGATGAGGAAGGACAGTGGCAACGGGCGGTTGAGCAGATTGGACAGGGTGACGAAGGCTTGCGGCGCGGCAAGGTTTAATAAGAGCAATGCGGCGATGTGATGTATGTCGAAACTTGAGTGTGGGATGTCCGGGCGGTACATCGAATAGGCCAGGCACACATCGACAAGGTCCCGATGCAGCGGCTGCTCGTCCTCCGCCGCTTGTGAAGTTCGTGCGGCAAACATCTTGAGTTCAGGGAACACTGCTTGGGTGCTTTCGACAATGTAGACATAGCGGCCTCCGAGCGCTTCGTGGCCATGTGTCTTCACTTCTTTGCGTGCTTTCTCCAAGGCAATGTTGTAGGTAGCTTCTGTGACCTCGAGGTCGTTTCCAATCGCTTTCTGCCAGACTTGGCCTCGCAACCGTGGAGGGATTCCGTTCCACCACATCTTCCTGTGCGAGGCACGTAATTCGGAGTTGGTCATCTCGGTAGCCCAGTTTGGCAGCAGTAAGCTCGACCAGTATTCAGCCTTGATGCGGCTGGCCTTTTCACGAGCCAGCGCCTCCTCTTGCGCGCGTTGAGCCTCGAGACGTTCTGTGACTGTTAGCCATTTATTGTCTCAGAAAGAGCCTAGGAAGGCGCAGATAACTTACCGGCTTCCTCGATACGAGCCAACATGCGCTGGTACTCCTTGAGATGCTTCTTCTCCTCCTTAGGGTTCTTGGGTGGGAGCCATGAAGGTCGGGTGCGCGAGAGGTACTTCTGCTTCTCAACTGAGGGCTGGAAAGGGTCGATCAGAGGATCGCTCTTGCGAACAGGCGGGAGTGCTGGCTTTTTGCTCTTTGGCTCTGGCTGGCTCATAGACGCTGAACGCGTGAGACCGGGCTGTTGCCGTGAGATTTCTTGCTTTCGCTCAAACTCGGATTGGAACTCCTCTAGCTTCTCTGTGATCAACTTGGCGTCGGTATCTAACGCGGTGTACGTCTCGGCCCATGTGTTTTGCTGTGCCCCGGGTTGGGGAGACACGCCCCTGCTAGAAACGTTGGGGGAGGGGGTCCTCTGGGAGACGCGCGCAGAGGGTGCGGGCGATGTCCTCGAAGACGAAGAGACGCCAGGATGCGGTGACATTAATGGCGGACTTTCTCCGGTCCATGACGCCGGCGACCGATCCTGGGTGGGGCGCGGCGAGATGGGAACGTTCCAGATGACAGCGTCTTCAGGAAGCTCATCGTCTTCATCGTCACACTCTGCCTCCCTTTCTTTTACAGTTTTTCTTTTGGAGTCCTGCCACGACTGCCTCCTGGAGCCCAAGCCCGGGGACGGCAAGACATCGTTCCGCGAGCTCTTGCGAGATAATGTGCGGGGTCCCGAAGCAGACTTGTGTGTGTTTGAGGGGGATGGCGAGCGCGAGGAGCGCTGGGGCGCGGCAAGGCTCAGGCTGGAGAGCGAGGGGACAGAGGGCGAGGTGAAGCCTCTTCTGGCTTGCTTGCCGGGGGCGGAGAGCTGGGCCTGCTGGCGGACGGCGTGGTTGACCTGGCCCTTGAGGCTCGGGTACTTTTGCTTGGTGGCACCCGTCAAATCGCGGAAGGAGTGGGCCGAGTGCGAGTGCGGGAGGCTCCTGGTGGACAGCGAGGCGCGCGGGGCTTCGAAGAGGACGCGATTAGACGGGCTCGCAGGCACGGGGAAGGAGGAGGGCCCACCTGATGCTTCGTCGAGGTTGATGTCCTCAAAGTGCGAGAGGTTCTCCGTCGTGCCCATGAAGTCTAGCAGCGTGGACGAGTGGATGCTGGACGACTTGGACGACTTTGAGTTTGTGAGGTCCGGCGGGCTGCCGGGCGGAGCGCCAAACGTTTGCTGGGCATCGTGGGCGTAGGTGAGGGTGGCCATGAGCGGTCGGGGCGGTCGTCGCTGGGTGTCGATGCGGAGTGGTGTGCCAATGCGGTGAGGCCGTCGGTCGTGGTTCGCCCAGCTGTCGTCGCGGTCGCAAGGGGCTTTGATTAATGAAGGCACATAGCTATGCGCGGAAATAATGTACAGCGACTTGGCCTGCGAGATGTAGTGCACGTCGGCGTCGCAGTCTTCGCTATCGCCCGCTTCGTAGACAGGAGGCAGTCGCTGGTGATGCTGCACCGCCGGCATCTTGGTCGATTCGGCGACGCAATTTGCGGAACTCGCGCTAGCCCCTGATGTCGGGGGACAGGGATGGACTCCAGTGGTGGGCCTCGCAGTGCTCTGGACCCGTCAGCGGCGCAAGATGCCTTGGTCGAGTTTAATTGCAAGCAGCCGTCGGTTCTACGTTGGGAATGGGATCAGGCATGGGAGCAGAGGGCGAGGTTCTGGCGATATGTGAGATGCAATCGTGCTTGAAACCGCAAAACCAATACGGCGCCGACTGAGGCAGGTATGCTTCTCCAGCCCGACCCCGGTTCAATGCGTCTAGCCAGGCGTTTTGCGACGCTGTCCCTCTGCTGAGAGCCTGCATAGTCGACCCCGGCTTCTTTGGGATGGGGTTGGTGTCCCAGCCGTCGCATCTACGCTTGACATCACGATACCAGCGTCGGCGGGCCAATCGCGTGCCGTCGAGGGCTGTCGCCTGCTCGACGCGAGGCTTATCAGGAGCAAGTAGTGGTCCGCCTATACACTACCGCGCCTTGCCTCAGTACTACCAGCGCTGCAATATGCAAGAAAAAGACATAACGACATCATCCTCTCTGCAGTCCTTCCGTCACTCCCGACAGCGCTGCAGCCAAGGCCCAAGGCTTGCAGTCGTGCCCACATGCCGCCGCTAGACGTGGGTGCTCGGCGTGGGCCCCCGGCCACAGATCCTTAGTGCTTTTCCCGAGTTCCTATCCCGTCACCACACTCGCATCCACACCTGCACCTCCCAACATCTTCTCTATATGCCTAGCCACTGCATTATCGCTGGAACCCGCTTTTGCTAGCGTGTTAAGCTTTCAGTGCCAAGTTATTGCCTCCTCCAGCATGCGTCGCTCCGCCATGTCAGACATGCGCGCTGCCGAGAGACATGTCTGCAGCCAGGCTAGCAGCGCGCGATGCTGCGTCTGCTTGCGCTGAAACACCGTCTGAAAAGCTTTGCAAGCCAGCCTATCCCTTCAATTAGCATTTGTTGGAAACCGGTAATACGAGCCCCGCCATGTCATCTTGCAAACGGTGGAGGCGATCTAGCCAAATCGCAGATCGTGCATCCACTTGCTGTGCAGCACGGAAGCTTAGCCACACGTACCATGAAAGCTGCCGCCGCGAGATGACGCCCTGCACAATCTTTGCCTCTCTGCTGCCGCGCGAGCGTGAACGGCACTGTAGCATCACATGGGCTAGTGCAATCATGTTGTCTACCGTCTCTGCAGTTCCCTCCGTCAGCAATTTCCTTCGCTAGCGTAGCCGGCGCAATCACGATCGCTCGTGGCGTGTGCCGTGCTCGCTTTCGTGCTATCAGACCATCATTCATTACCACGCCCACCCTCCCACGGGACAACCCCGCACGAGCATCGATGGATTGGGCGTTGGAATCTTCGCAACGGGAAAGTTTAGACGTACTGATAAGCAGATTCGAACACGTCGTTCGCACCTTGGATAGCGCGCGTGCGTACTCGAGGCACCTCACCGCCGCTTCAAGAAAGCTTTGATGCAAATTCGCTAGTACCGTTGCCACGCTGTTCAACGATGGATCGATCAGCATGGCCTTCAGTTGGATCTTGAATCCGCTATCAGAAATCAGTAAATTGTCGGACTTTTCACCCCGTCCATGGCCCGATTGGCCGGCGGTGCATACCGCGATCTTCGAGACTTACTTCAGAGCTTTGCGATGGAACGTCTGGCCGGGCATTTTGGTCAGATCTACAGTCAAAGAGTCCTCAACACCTGGTGTGGTTAGCATCTGAAGCCGCAAATAGATATTGTGCACGCAATGCCACCCACCGGCCTTTGTAGGGCGTTCTGTTTTTTTGCTGACTTCCAGCGTCGTCGTATCGATACAGACGCCGCAATACGGGAATTTACCATCTGAGCCGCTTGTCGCTATCTGGTCTCCTTCTTCTGTCGTGACATCGAAGTTTGCCATCGACTTTGAAGGCTTTATCACTACGCCGTATTCCGGGTGGCCTTTGTGCATAACGCGTACGAAGCGCTGAGCATGCTGTTCGTTGATACTGATCAAGAGGAAATCGTCAAGTAGGCGGAGAAGCAACGAGTCTTCATCAAGCACAAACCCAAGCACATCGCGTTCTAGCTGAGCGTAGAAGAAGTTGCACAAGATGCTCGATAAGACTGAGCCCTGTGGTATACCAGTCTTCTGGCGATAGAAGCGCTTCCCGATTTTAACGACATTTCTCTCGATATGCTCCTGTAAGAGCTGCATCAAGTCATCCTTGGTCTCACGCCGTTGCAAGTTGGTATTAACAAAGACGGTGTTGGCCTTTGTGCCTGCCAATCTATCTTGCACGAGTTGGTGGAAAGGCGTTACACTCGTCGCTGCCTCAGTATGCGGTATGTACTTCTTGAGAGGCATTGGGTCCACATGTTTACCGCCGAGACGCTGTAGAGGACCCAGGGGGGAAATCTCCACATGTTTGCCGGTGTTGTAAGCCTGGATCGACATGAGACTGTCGATCATACGCAGCAAGCGTGACTGTGGTATAGTGTCGAAGCAAGCCTGAACATCAACTTTAGCAAAATAAAGCCGAATGTCGCCGAGTCCCCGCTGTCGCAACGATGCTTTGAAAGATGCTAGCTTGGGAAGCATATCCCCGACGGAGAAAAGTGAGCAGCCGAACTTATCGGGACGCAACGACTGCTGCAAATTAGCCATGGTGAATCCGTCAACTCGAGCGACTACTGACCTTCTCGTAGGTAATCGCATTGAAAGCTGGTGTCATCACCGAGTTGATACTTCGTCCGAGAGTCATAGTACCATATCGCATCACCTGCTGTCTTCTCTTGAGATTCATGATAGTTCGGCAGCCCTGTTTCTTCGGAAGGAGACGGATATTACTGAAGCCGAGCTGACGTGCGGACAGCAGTCTTTCCGTGCTCTCAGTAGGCATCTCCTCGAACATGTTCATCCGTAGTTCCTTCAAAGCGGGCTCTGTTAACATCCGCCAAATATCATGGCGGAAATAGAATAGTCTGTTCCGATGCGCGTTGGACTCTGTTACGTGGAAGTTTGTGCGAACCAGAGGAACGAGGACAGAGTCGAAGAGCCAGTAGACGAACTCGAGAAATATCTCCGTACGCTTATCTATGTCCGACTTGGACACCTTTGTGTCGTCGTCTTGGCTGGGCGGGCACAACCAGGCTATGTTCGTGATCTAGGATCTCTTAGCATAGCTCCATGCTCAATGTAGGGGAATACGTACCTGTATGTTCTGTGTAATCTGATGTAGATTAAGCGATTCGAATCTGCGCATGTCTACGAATTGGTCCACCCAATACATAAGGGTGCGATGGTTATGCTCGTTGCCCCAGAATCTTTCCGGTATAACTTTGGATATGACTGCGCGACAAAAGGCCGATACGTGTGCTGCTGGACACGCCAGATCTGTGAAACAGGTTTCTTGAACGGTGGGATTTCCAGGAGTAGGTCGCGCTTTTGTGCGACGATTGACGGGATCTGCGACTGATCGTACATCTGCCTTCGGCTGAAGTGTGCTCTTCCTCCAATCTGGCTTCGTTGACACGGGTACTCCCTATCTGAGTTAGCAGAATTTCTTATACATGTCATGGAGAAGAGTACCTCGATTGGACAGTAGTGGCGCAGCATCTCCATATACGAGCACCGCTGATTGCGGACCCGAAGTTTGTCCACCAGTTTAACAGCGTCACCCCGGAGTCTCTTGGGTATTCGCTGCTTCCACTTAGCTATTTCCTGGGCGTCTGTCGCTTTGGAGCCCAGTTCCCGACACATGGCGGTGTGTATATCCTTCTCGCGCAGCGTGTAGTCTTTGAACGGCATGGCTGTCTCACGATGATCCACCTTGGAAGTGAAGACGTTGTGCAACCCGAACTGACGCGGGAAGATATACCGCATGATATGCACTGTCTCTTGCTTGTCTTTTCGATCAGTGAACCGATTGAGAACATCTATGAATGGTTAGCCCCAATAAAGCACTCGAAGAACAGTGACAACGCACGAATATGGCGCATGCCAAATCTCACACCACCTTTCGCGTTGAGCGCTGCTTTCGCATACAGCATGCGACTGCGCACAAATGTAATAGCACCAGGCTTTTTGCTTTCAATCTTGAGCTGTGAAGGTTTGGTGGGCGCTTCCTTGACCGCGTTGACTCTTGCGATGTTGTTCTTCTGAGGTTCATCCGACTTCACCTCATGCACAGGAACCCCAGAGAGCTGGTAGTAGTTGCCCATATCAGCACTGACCAAGATGAATATGGAGCACTCCAGAAGCATGTCCATGATAATGCGGTCACCACCCTGGCCGAGCAATGCGTGCAGTCGACACCACACTGGCTCTTTCAATGTCCTCGCGTAGCTATTAGGGAGACGTTCTTGCAGACCAGGAATAGATGAACTCGGATTCTCGCTGTTCCCTTGTATACGACGATTGCTGCCTGCAGATCTTTGAAAGCCATGGCAGAGTAAGTGTGCTGGTTTGTGAGATGTTGAACGCTTGAATAAGCGCCATATCACGAAATCAACGATCTGGATATATTTAGTCGTAGTTCTTTGAGCGGAACACTATGAGTAGGTGATGCTTCGTATGACCTACCTCGGATTGCCTGTAGTATCCCGGCTTGAACGTACCGCCCGGAGTGCTTTGCGATCGCTGTTGGGTGAATGCTTCGATGTCCTTTTCACGCTCTTCACTGAAACTCGTTGCTTTGTCCTTTTCTAGTTGGACGCCTGGATTGCATACCAGTGCTGAGTCGAGCAACTGCACAACGGCATTGTCAAGGTCCGCGGTGTTTTTGTCTCCAGCGGGTATGGCATGTCCAAGTTGCGAAAGCTTTCGGTACCTATTCTTCGACGAGCTTGGGAGTCGAGAGAGCAGATACTGGCGCAGAGTCAGGACTCCGGGATAGAGGCGTTGTAGGACTGGATGAGTAGCATTAACAGTGGTGGCCTTGGTGGATTGGTCATCGGCGCCCTTTGCTTTTTTGCGGCCGCCCGCACAGCTATGGGCGCTACGTTTTCTCTTCATGCCGTTATAGGCGCATGCATTGCATGCGTAGGCGCGTTGTTTGAGGCTTGTGGTGTGTGAGTGGAGCTCGTGAGGCGTGTCAATGGGGTTAGCGCTGACGCGACCGCACGCGTCGTCGCGTGACTCGAACAGGGAGTCGCATCAATCCTTGTCACAACTCGCGTACAGTTACCCAAAAGCGTAGTTCATACTAGATCGCAGTATGAGATCATTTCGAGCAAGTTAAGCTAAGCAACATGGTCTCATTTCGTGATCGCATTCTACCTGTGTACCTTCCTAGAGTACTCAGGCGTCGGACGTGAGCATGTGAGTTTGGTCAGCATCCGGTACTGTACGGTTATAATAAAGACCAAAATATCAATCCGAGTCTTTCTCTATCCGCGTTCGCTAAGCTCAGTTTACCTTACAGGTCTAAGCACCTCCCAATCCCCCATATTACGCATATCGTCCGGCTCATCGTCCATCAAATTCCTCCTACTACTCCCACCACTTCCTGTGCGGGGCGGCAATGCCGGCTTGTCACCGTCATCATCAATAAGATTTTGCACTGGTTTCCTGGTCAGATGAGGAGGCGGAGCCATTGAGCGTCTGGTTGACTGCGGAGGATATGCCCTCGATTCTTCTTCCGGGGGATCATCACGGTAACGTTGTGGAGGGGGTGCGAAGGTTGGTCCTGGAGAGGAACCTTTAGAAAGGAGAGCGGGTTTCTTGTTGGGGATTGGTGGTGGTGCTGGTTTGCGGAGGACTTGTGGTTTACTGGAGGATTGTGTTTGGGGCAGCGTATTTGATGCGCGGTAAGGTAGGCTGCTGGGAAGGGAGTGTGTAGACGCGCTTGAGCCGCTGCGGCGGAGGTCGCTGAGCGAATCTCGCGTACCGTCTGAACCGAGGATTTGAGTGGCATGACCCGGATACAACGGAGCGATCATCTTACGAGCCGCGGGCTTCTGCGTTGGTGGTAAACTGGTCGAGGGGCTGTTGAAGTCGACTGTGCGTGCTCTCTGTGAGCCGCGTGCTGGTGGTGGCTCGGGTCTGCGACTGCTCGGCATATGCCTGACATCTATCCAGTCTGGTTCTGGACTAGGCGTAAACGGATTGCTGGGTCGATTCGGGTTTGGAAAGTGGTTGTTAGATGGCGGTTCCACGCGTGCTTTCGCTGGTAAGCCTATTGAATATGAGTATCCAAGCTATAGCGGGAAAGATGATAAAAGTACCGTTGTCGAGCCACCACTTCCTCCTATCTGAGCTTGCAGGTGGCAATCCTGGCTCAATGCTATCGTACCCAAGCAGATCTTCGTCGTCCGTCTCATCATCACCCAGACGGCCTGCCGCGTGGGTATCGCCAACCACTTCTCTTCGTTGTTTGTACAAAGTAGCCTTCATGGCATCCTTCTTCTTTTCATCGACCCTTTGCACCAGTATCTGGAACGTAGCATAGACTGGTCGGTGGTCAGAGAAACGAAGTGGTGCATCGTTGTAGTGGATTTGTCGGATGTTATCACCCTTGCGAAGTACACGATCACACCAAGCGGGAATGCGCGCTTTCTCGGATGTATCGTATTGGTTACTGTTGAGGTCGTACTTGTAAGTCGGCGGGAAAGTGATGCGGGCCTCGGAGTAGTACGGAAAGGTCAAGCCAGCTACCATCTGCAGATTAAGCTGTTTTTGATTAGCTATGGTCCATGCAAGTAAAACGTGACTACTTACCTGGTCGTTGTCGTACAAGGTCTCGAGGTCACCAACATGGCACAGCCGTTGCACCTTCTCATTATTCAAGCCAATCCGGTAGTTGAAGTCGCCGAGCCATATTACAGTGTCATGGTCTTCAATTGATCGGTTCCTTTGAAAGCGTAGACCATGGCTGATAGTCTTATAGTCGCGGTTGCGCTCTTCGTAGTTGGCAAAACCAGCCGCAAGATGGGCCGTGACGAGGCAAATTGAAGTATTGGCATACTCGAATCGAATAGCTACGGCTCCTTTATTGCCAGCCATACCCGACATGCCAGTCTAGAGCATATGTTAGCGGAATATGTCAGATGTTGAAAATCGCTGTCATACCTTCTTCAGAGCGCCTTCGACGTTCTTGATATGCGTAAGGCAGTCGGCCCGGACAAAGACCGACAAACTCGCACCCACTAACTGGCCACCTCTTAGAATAACATACTCGTCTTTTCTGTGCTTCTCGGCATTCTTGTTGAGACACATTCTGACAGCTTCCTCCCAAGCCTCGCGTCTGTCTGGGTCTGTCGACATGATTTGTTGAGGGCTTAATTCGACAATCTCTTGAAAGCCTACAGCTACTATTTCGGGGCACTGCTGTGATGGATCGACATCGGGGCATAGCCAGGGCGAAAGATCGCTCTTTATGCCACTCGTTTTTCCGTTCAAGTTGAATGTTCCGACAAGAATATTGATCATCTCGGTCTCTGAATACTCCGCAGATCGTCGCGCAAGCTCTGCGACCACATAGTCGTTGAGCGGGTCATAAAGATGCACTGGAACCTGGCCAATCAGTCTTCCAAGAAGCATGTCGATGGTGTTTTGTCGCCCTTTATCCGCAAAGTTGTTAATGTACATTCGGGTGGCGCTCTTGCGAGCGTCTGCCAGAGCACCGGCAAGCGACATCTTTCCAGATCGTGTAAATGAGGACTTCAGCGCTCCAGTTCCCGCATAGATCTTTGAAAGAGCATCGCCATTGTCTGCCCACATACTTGAATGTCTGACCCAGAAGTCCTGACTGGCTCGAAGGCCTTTGTGGCTCAAAAAGATTTCGAGTGCCATCTTGCTAATGATGGTTTGCACGAGGTTCGTTCGATCAAGGCAATCCAAGCAGTTTGTTCGGAAGACCCCCTCCTGCTGCAGTATGCTCATTGTCCGGCGGACAGCGTAGTCTTCTCCATTGTGTCTGGCCACTTCTTCTACATCTTCAGAGAGATAGTACCCGAATCCTTCAGCAGAACCTTGGATCCACTGAGCAATCATACTAGCCATCTCATAGCCACCGGGTCCTCGTGTCTCGGCATGGAAGTCATATTCCGTAAGCTTGATGAGATCATGCTGTCGGTCGTTGAGATTGCTTCCTTGGTTCAACGGGCTATTCCTGATATGCCCGCGATATCTATGCGTCAACTCTAACTCGTTTTGTTTTTCGTTGCTCAGCAGGTTTACAACATGAGTTGTGCCGTAGCTGAGTTCCAGATTATCAAAGTGCCTGTCAAAGGCGGGTTGTGTAGCTTCCGGCGACCGGGTGATGGTAATCTTTTGTTGGTTTGGGAGGAGACCAGCCTGCTGTTCCCAGAAGATGGGTACACTTCCTCGCACCTGCACATAAGAGAAGCAAGCTCCCGAAGGCGCCCAGTATATTGTTTCGCTTTCCACAAAGTTTGCGACATTCCCATCATCATCGATACCTCGCGAGTTGAACCTTGTGCCCGCCCGCTTGCAGGATAATCTTGAGATGAGCGTCATGGACGACGGCATGCCTGAATCCTGTACTCTGATGGGGGCCGAAGACTTGGGAATCGTAATGGTGAGTGCGAAACCGCGGATGGCAGATGTCAAGATCCCGGAAGCATCCAAAGCGTCCTTCTCCCTCGGCGCGAGGCGGCTCCTAAAGTCCACCAGTGGCTGGATCATGTATGAGTTCCATAGAAAGCCAGCGTCTAGACTGTCGATAGAAACGGTTGCGGCATCGGTTGTACGGTCTTGTAAGCGTCTGGTGAGGTCGAAGTCTGAGCTGTAATAGAAGGTTCCACTGCTGAGTATCTTCTTGAGCGCCAGACACGGGTGTTCCATGGGCGATTGCTCCTTCCTGCCACCGAAGCCCATCTCATATCCTTCGTCATCGATTGTATCCGTGGGGTAGGGGTTGACTTCGTCGTTGAGCAGGGTATCGTAGCTTGTGCTGGTCAGGCAGTAGAAGCCGACCGAGTATATCCTCTGCACCGTCTCGCCAGGCCGTACTGTCGCCACCTTGCTCGCGCCATTGACGACGACGAGGAAGACATCGCTGTTGACGGTGATCAAGCCCAGTGTGCCGTGTACGTTGACCGAATGCAGCGCGCGGTAGTCTTCTAGATCGATTTCCTCCAGGCGGGTGAACTCGACCATGCAGCGCGCGACGCCGGCGCCGTTGCTCCCCAGTGACGTGGACGAGGCATTGGGGTTCCCCGTCTGTTCGGTGGTGGACGCGCTGTGTCGGAGGACGAGGGCGTGGGTCGAGGTAGCGAGGGCGATTGCGCGGTGTGGGTAATCTTTG